GGGCCAGATGTTCTCCGTGCCGTTCCAGAGGTAGCGCCACGAGGTGGCGGTCCAGTCGGGGAGGGCGACGGCGGACTGGAAGATGAGCGGCGTGGCGGAGTGGTTGTACCCCGCGATGGTGAGGTAGAGTCGGTCGTTGTCGGCGGCGTCCCAGAACAGATCCGGGTCGTAGCCGGTGAGGGTCGTGGTGATGGTGATCGGCTCGCTCCAGGCCGCGTCCGCGTAGGGGTCCGTGGTCGTGAAGACGAGGAATTCGCTGCCGTTGGGCGCGGTGGAAGAGATCAGCGCCGTGGTCAGGTACAGCGTGCCTTTGTGGAAGCGCAGGGTCGAGGCGTAGATCCCCTCGGACTGGCTGGTGGCGTTGAGTAGGAACGGCGCCTGGGACGGGCGGGACAGTGCGTGGCTGACCAGCTTCCAGTGGATGAGGTCCTTGCTGGCGTAGATGGGGATCCCCGGGAAGGCGAGGAAGGTCGACGTCGTGCAGAAGAAAGTCTCATCCCAGGCGGCGATGAAGGCGCAGCTCGGGTCGGAATGCCATCCGGGGAGGATCGGGTTGGTGTAGGTGTAGTTGGTCTGGCGGGTTGCAGTAACGAGGGGGATTAGTAGCGCATTCACTAGATAGATTAGAAACTGCATTCTGTCATTCTTAGAGGTTAGAGGTTTGAGGTGCCTGATCTGGGGATTGGAGTAGGGCTGCGCTGTTTAAGTATCTGCTGATTTAGCCTGAACTCATGCATGTTGGCAGGGGGTCGACAAGTTGACAGGACAGACTCTGACGATTCCTGGAGGTCATTTAGGCTCAATTGCGAGACATGTGAACAATCGTCGTCTCTCACAAATGCTACATACAGGATATGCGCCGGACAGACAAGTCGCAGACTTAACCCTCACTAAACATGACCCAGCGCATCTCCTGACCCCACTCTCACTCGGGGATTCTGACCACAGCCCTCCCCGTGATAGCATCCTCCTCAAGATCTCGAATCAGCTTCACTGTCTCATCGAACCCATAACACTTCACCGCAGGCGTGATAGTCCCCTCAGCAGCCAGCCGCAACAGCTCCGCCATCTGCTCCTCCGTCCCCACCGAGCTGCCAACAATCGAGATCCCTACCATCACGAATCAGCTCCCTAATCCCCGAACCGCCATCCTGCCTCCGAGAGGAAGAAACATACCTCTAGCCGCACACAGCGTCGCGGAAACCGGCAACTCGAAATCATTCCTCGGCAGCCCGACACACACCACCGTCCCCAGATTCCTCACCAAGTCGGCCGCCACCCTGAACGCGGCCGGATCCCCCGGCACGACCACCGTGGCCTGAGCCCCCTCCCCGTGTGTGAGCTCCCTCACGCGCGCCACCACATCCTCAGCCCGGAAATCCACAAACGCCGCCGCACCAGCCTCCATACTCAACCGCCTCTTCTCCTCCCCGGAGTCCACCGCGAGAACCCTCCACCTTTTCACCCGCGCCGCGATCTGCACCCCCAGATGGCCCAGCCCGCCCCCGGACCCCGAAATCACCACCGAGTCTCCGGGCTGCAGCACGCCGTCCAGCCGGTCCAACGCCCCCACCATGGTCAGTCCCGCGCACAGCAGCGGCGCAGCGACCTCGTCGGCCACGGTCTCTGGAATGGGGGTCAGGAATCGCGCGTCCGCCAGGACGTACTGCTGCAGCGTGCCGGGGACGTGGCGGCTGGTGTTGCGCTGGTGCGGGCAGTAGTGCGGGTGGCCAGAGGTGCAGACGGAGCAGTGCGTGCAGGCGCTGTAGAGCCATTTCACCCCGACGCGGGCGGAGAGTAAGGACCGCGGGGCGAGGGAACCGGTCCGGACGACGGTGCCGATGCCCTCGTGGCCGATGATCGAGTTGTAATTGCTCCAGCCGGAGGTGGCGCGGATTTCCGAGTGGCTGGAAGCCGTCAGTTTCCCGAGGCAGTCTGTGTCGAATCGGATCGGGTGTGGGATGCGAGAAAGATGAGTAGGCGGGGAATCGTTACCACAAACCGGTGCATGTCAGCTTGACGAGGACTTCGTGGTCCCCTGGTTGGGGAACGGGGAGGTCATCGCGATGAATGATCTGGTAGTTTGGGCCCGGGTTGAGGACGACGGCGCCTTGTTGAGTGGAAGGGATTGGTGCTGCCATTGTGGGTTTTGTTTAAGGAGACTGTCAGCCATGAGTTGTGACAGATGCAAGGACATTACTTTATATATACGCTGTGAGGGGGGGTGATGGCGGCAACCCCGCCAGCAAATGCGGCTGCCAAGGATGCCGATTCTCACTCCCGAGATCGATCCATAACCGGGGTTTGCCGAAAGTTTATCGCGAGTTGGGCTACGAGTCATTTCCTGCATGGAAGAGATGTAAGCATACTGCAATATGTTGGTGAGTTGCTGTGTTGGTGAGTATGAATTGAATATCTATTGTTGGATGTAAGAAGGATGGATGATAGATGCCTGATCGACTAGGCATCAATTCAAATAAGCATTCACTTGGCGTTTGCTATATACAAGAAGTGTACGCACAGCCCCATGAATGACATGCCCCCATGCGAAGGTCTCATCGGCTGTCACACATAGTGGTGTATGTACAGATAATACAGGAAAGCAAGAGAGCGAGCAACGTGAATCAAGTGGTCTTGCCAATTGATGGCAGCGACTCAGTATTGTCTTCTCTTCGAATTTTATGGTGCGCGTCCGCATCGCTTCCAGCACAAGAAGCCAATTCTTGAGTATAACCTCTTCCTCGGTGGCTCTAAGAAGTTTGGCACAGTTTCAAGTATGTAGCCACAGGTTTCCCTTCCGACATTGGACCTCGTAGTATAATGTTGACAGGAGTCTTTTGTATGCGGAGGCTGAAATCACCCCCTTAGGAGCCCTTGCATTCCTTATGGGATCCTCCGTCAGATCAAGCAATATGCGAGCAAGAGATGCAGCAGTGGAATGTGCGATGTTTATTGGCTGCATAGCAGCACTTACAACAGGAGGCAGAATCTTGCCATGCACGGGATCAGCCGCAATGCAAAGGTGATTGCAGCGCAGTGCTTTCAATGCAGCGTATCTGGCTACATACGCGAAACAGGTACTCGGTAGCATTTGTTCGCCTTCTTTCGTAGTTTTAGCGATGCATATCGATATCGAGCGTGACCGCAGTTTCAAAGGCCCGCCCTGAGCGGATCTCGGACGCCGGGGGCAAGGATCGGATGTGACTTCTTCCTAGATGACTTTGTCAGCGAGCTCGTCCGCGTAATAGCAAGTGTAGCATGAACAGCACTCCTGCCTGACGGGAACTCATTGTTGCACATCTATCCAATCAGCTGAGATGGGGATTTGCTCTGTTTAATCAAAGGTAGGCATCGGTTATTGGAGGAGGCGAAGGCAAACAAACGAGACGTTGTTGCCCGCGAGGTTGATAGTGGCCATAACGCCTGGCTCAATTTCCCAGGCTGGAAGTCTAGTCTGGCTGCGTTTATTGGTCGACGATATGAAAATGCTGATGGATTTGCTAGAGGTGGATCAGCCTTCAACTCTAGAAGGTTCATTCTTGGAGCTTCAATTTCCTACCACCTCTATCAAGCGACAAATGGAGGCCATGGCGGATCTATCAGAGGCGCTGGATGACTGAGAGCAAGGATATCGACCGGACTCCAACCAGGCACGAGTCCTGTGGTGATGAGAAGAGTTAGCTTGTGCCATGAATGGCTATGTCTTAGCCAATGTTCTGGTTGTGATCTTGGATTTTGATTGTGATAGAAATGAATGACCGACCATAACAGACGGAGTTGACGGTGCTGTAAGCGGCGACTTCCAAATTGTGATTCAATAAAATGATATTCGCATATCTTCTAGAAACCGATACGCAATGATGTAGGTGAATGTCCGCTCATAACTGGAGTTGTGATCCGCAAACAGCAGCAGCGAGATAGCACTTCCTTAGCGCTTCATTAAGCACGGCTGTTTTCGAGTCAGGTCACAATGAAGCAAAATAAGCCCCTGGGGAGGAGGAGTCTTACTTACCTATAGGCAAAGACTTGACAAAATCCAGATTTGCCCCTTCTTTTGGCCTCCACAACGGTCAGGTTTGTTTAGTAGTTATTCGCACATATTCAGAAATCACGTAGACAGGAGACGGCTCGAGATGTCAGCTTCAGGCTATTGGTCAAGTAGGCTGGCACCAGGCTGAAACACCGCATGAGCGAGCTCTAAATCTGTTGGCTCATAGTTTTGCTCTGCCGGAGACGATGTGTGGTTGAGGAACAAGAGATATCCCCAAAGGAGTGGAAACTGAAACAAGTCAAGAACCTTTGGGTGGCTGAGTATCACTGTCTGGATATTGAGAGAGATAAACTCAGCTATTCTGATGATGAAGATGGTGATGACAGACTCGGACTGAGCGATCGAGGAGCGAGGAATCGAAAGAAGAGTGGGAAGGAGAAGACTGACAGGGACAAGTTCGGCTCTTATGAAGAGGGAGATACAATAGATGAGTTTGATACAGGCTACTATATTCACACCTCGAGGACCTTTGACCTTCACAAGAACACACACGAGTTGAGTGAATGGTCTTGACATATGTAGAACCGGAACCTGCCTGTCGCCTACTCACTGCGGCTTGTAGGCCCCGCAGATGAAAAAATGGGTATAGAAACTTGGGAACAGCACCCAGCGGGCAAAGACGGGAGAGGAGTCCCATTGTGTATTATTGATTCGTAAGTCTATCGGAAATTCACTCTCTGACACAAAGCGCCCCCATAATGAGACGTCAGTCTACCGAAAAGATCCCTACAGTCTTTGTAGTATTGCAAAAGGCAAGTACCTGTATGTCATGTATCATACACAATGACCGGAATATCCCCGCAAACCATAAGGCCCTGACTCCGCACTCTGAGAGCAATGAGCTCTATAAATACACCCACGCTCATCTACTCTTCCATGGCCCAACCACAACCACAACTCATCTGACACCCACAAGCAACTTGGAACCCACCAACCCACGGTACGCAAGATGACCACCCCACAAGACCTCCAGGAGGCACACGCCTTCTGGCGAGACACTGAGCCCCCCGGCTGCCGCATAAAAATCCTCTCCATCATCGGGGACGATGCTGACGCCACGGACCCGAAGCTTTTGGAGCACCACTTCATCTACGTCTGGATGAAGCTGGCGCGCGCCGATCCGCTTCCGCCGGCGCGCCTGTACGGAATCATCATCTGCGGTGATCAAGTGCGGCTGTACACCGAGTTCCCCCGGGGCCACGAGTACCACGAGACGGGGATGCTGCAGTTCCAGCACCAGGGACGCGAGGTGTTCTCCTCGCGCCGGGACGAGGCGGTGTTCCGTGAGTTCATGGACGTGGTGCAGGCACTGCGGTACGAGGACTTGGAGCGCGGGCAGGTCGATCGGGCGTACGCGAAGATCCGCAGCGGGGAGCTGCCACCCCCGGAGGAGCGGGCGACGCCGGAAAATCGAGGGCCCTGGAAGGTCCTTAGTGTCCACGACTGGTCGGAGGTGGACGAGGAGCAGGTCCCGACCGTGTCTCCAAGTAATCTGGACGATTCCCCCGTGATGTGGAAGGTGCATGTCACTGACCGGAGGAAGGTGATCTGGGGTCCGAAGCGCGCGAGACGCTGAGGGAGGGTTTGCTTTGCAGCCTTCCGGCGGGCGGCTAGAATATTTTACAAAAAAATCATATCTCAATTGACGGAGGTTCTTCTCCGTCTTCTCTATTTGTTGCTCGGTACTATCACATTGTTGTTGTATCTTCTTTAGCAAATGGGTGGCTGACACTGCTCGCTTGCTATCTCAAAGCCCCCTTGTTTGGGCACGGCAGTTAGGGCATCCTCTTCCCATCACTGCCCTCTCCTAGTATCAATCCACTTACCCTTCATTCCATCTTCTCCATCCTTGAAAACCGGCACACACTCAGATCCCCGTCAACGGCTAAGCAGCAGCAACCAGCTCGATCTCAACCTCCGCATCCAGCGGAAGACTGGCCACGCCCACACAGGTACGGCACTAAGACCCCCAACGTTAGCCTCTAGCTCATACAGTAACCCGACCACAACAATGAACCCGAGAGGAAAAGCTCACCGGCTTGACATCATACTCCCCAAAGACCCTGGCATACCCGTCGTTGACCTTGGCATAATGCGCCATGCTGGAGATGAAGATCGTGACCTTGACAACCTTGCTCAGGTTGCTCCCGCCGGCAATGAGGACCTGTTCCAGATTGCGCAGGGCTTGGACCTGCGTTACGTGGTGCATTAGACACACATGATCACATGATCAAGTCATTGTGCCAGGCAGAAAACTCACGGTCCTGTCAGCCACGTCGCCTGGGACAAAAGTGCTGGTCTGGGGGTCGATGCCTAGACTGCCGGAGCAATAGAGCATGCCGTTGGAGATGATGCCTTGCGACATCCACGGGCTCGGGGCAGGAGCGTGTTGGCTTAGAACGGGGAGTTTGGCGGAGGGCATGGTGGAGGTGTAGGTGCGATCGATTCAGACTGGAGTTCGGGATTATTCGGAGGAAAGACGTCTATTTGAGCCTCGCTGAGGCTATTTATATGGGAGGCGGGCGGGGAGAGTGGACGTGGGATGAGTTTCCTGCTGGTGGATTGTGAATGATAGCGGACTGCAGCGTGTAAGGCAAGTCATCCCGGATGCGGGCAAGCCTGCCCTATCCAAGTCCTATTCATTCGTTGTCCTAGCAAGACCACATCCTTTCCAGTCGGTGATAAACTCGGGCTTCTCTTAGGCCATGTCTCGGGTTCGTTTGGGGCTTCCAGTACCGACGGGGAATAAATACTGGCGGGCGGCGACCGGCGTGGTTCATCGTTTGCGGGAGTGTGGCGGCATAGGATTGTAGAGATGTCGATTCATGATAAAACAACTCTTTCTCTTGCAGCGCCGATTGATAGAAAAAGAGGCCGTTATCGATGTCATGGATGCAGAAACATCATGGACCGGTGGCATGGCGGCCGAGGCTCTAGGAAGGAGATGGCAAGACCTTTCCGCACAACCGTTGTCAGCTTCATCCTCATCGATAGTCCTGCCAGGCCAGTCTGGTCTTAAAAGCTTGAATGGATGAGTTTCGCGAATCATGATAGATACTCCCCAAAGCTACACTATGCGACCGGTGCAATTGCGATGGATCTCACTGCTCGTGATAAGGTCGGGACCTTCGGACCTTCGTCTTCGAAATGAAGGGATTGCCTCCGACACTGACCGGAGCCAAGCGGGCCTGAGTTGTGGAGTAAGCGGGCTCCTTCGCAGTCTGAATAGGGTTCCATTTAAGATGGAATACCCTGGCTCCCTGGCGGCAAAAGCTTTCATCCCTGAAGCACTGAAGCGCCGACCTCCGTCTTGCACCGGCTTAGCCCGGACTCTGCTGCAACACAATCTCATTCTCCCGATCCTCGACCGATCCTCGACACAGTCATTGGCCCGATAGGTGAACCGGCGCTGGATTATAAATCATACACGTTATCTCCAGGCCGTGCCTGTAATCTGCAATCCCGACGGCCGATGATGATAGCCGGATTAGCCCGCCAACGGGTCAGTACTCAGAGCCATTTACTCTCGGACGCAATGTCCTTGTTGGACAGTATCAGAACCAGTCGCCCTCGGACGTAAGGTCTAAAGCCGACTCGAATTTCTCCCGAAGTCTGGGGGATTTGCGTCACTGGGCAGACCGACCGAGCATCATGGGCTGTCATGAGATGGAGGAGTACGTGGACATGGAGAGAATTGTCAAGAAATGTCAAGAAATGTCATCACCACCGCGGGATGGCCTCTAGGCAACCACCAGTCGCAGGCATGGGATTGGAAGAAGGACCTTTGGGGCTGGAGGAAAGATGGTCTGTCTCGTAGACCCAGTGAATGGACGGAGACCGGGCCGAGGTGGGATTCTGGATAGTGACTGGCCTCTTTTTTTTTTTTTTTTTAGCTGCGTGGGGCGTGTCGGAGATCGGAGTTGTCTGCTTCTTTCATCACCGACTCACCCGCTATCTCCAACCTTTTCTAACGCGTTTCGAGTTTTTCGACCCTGAATAATCCCGACGGTTTCCCGCAAACGGGCTCGCACCGATGCGGGTCGGAGCGCAAATCCCTTCCTCTCTAGTGGACTAGTGGGTTTGGGCCAGCCAGGCCCCTGCCATAATATCACTTCTTGCTCTGTAATGGTGTTATCTGATCTTGCCCTCGGTTTGCCCAGCCTTGAAAGTGGAGCGTTTGGGCAGAAGAGAAGAAAAAAAGAAAGAGAAACGTCATCACCGTGGCTGGCGCTGAAGTCATATCTCCCGGTGAGTAAGACTCCTGATGAGACTCCTGATGTTACCCATGATGCACATGATGCACATGATGACACTGCTAGCCAAGCCTCGCTTCGAGGGCTCCTATCTCACTCTCGACTGATTTCAGGCATGTGCGAGCATTAAGCGATCTCACGACGGCAATGCCAGATTGCCCATATATTAATACGAGCTGTTATCGTGACTGCCAAGGGCCAACCGAGGGCCAGCCAAGGGCCAGCCAAGAAGGGCGATGCCCTGCCAAGTCGGCGATAGAAGGACGATCGTCATCCGCAACACACAAACCAAGAAATCCTGCCCCGGATCCATGTCGATCTTGATCTTTGACAGTGGAGAGAAGGTCGGGGGTCGGAGGGAAACCTTTCATGCCAAGCATGCACGTTCAGCATCGCCTTCGTGCACTGGCGGATGAATCCTAATCCTGCAATACGAATGCGCCGCCTTTGATGGGCTGTCTCGTCGCTTAGCAATATGGGCTAAGCCATCAGCTCGAGCCGAAAATTCATTTGAAGCCAGTGCAAAACACCCCCGTCCCAACGGCCACCGCTATATAAGGACTGGGTTCGTCTTCTCCTGGATACTCCTGACGATCTCTGCAACTCATCCCTGTCCCCCTTCTCTTCTCACTGCAAGGACAAAATGCGCCTTCCCAGTGCCGTTGCATTGACAGCCCTGGTGGCTGGGTCAGCCGCCGCCTCTGGCTGTCCCTATGCAGCACGCACCAACGATGAAGCGGCTGCTGCTGCTGCTGCTGCTCCTGTTGGGTGTCCCTATGCCAGACGAGCTGCTGCCGCTGCCGCTGCCGCTCAGGTCAAGGAGACTCCCGTTGAGACTCAAAGTGGAGCCATCGAAGGCAAGAAGGGTATCTTCTACTGTAAGTGCAGCTGAAAGTCCATTCTCCCCGTGAACCGAGCCAGGCCGCTAATCAAGCTACCAGTGAACCGTATCGGACCTTCGGGTTCGCAGCTCTGGATCGCCAATGCGGACGGTACCAACGCAACCAAGCTTCTAGGCGACCAGACACACGCCTTCGACTACCACCCATCCTGGTCCCAGGATGGTCAATGGATTGTCTTCACCAGCGAGCGTCGCGGTGCGGGTCAGTCGGACCTGTACCGGGTGCACCCTGACGGTACTGGGCTCGAGGCCCTCGTGACGACGGACAGTGCGGAGGACATTGGTGTTATATCACCCAATGGCAAGCAGCTGGCCTATGTCTCGACGCAGGGCAACTACACCATGAACGTCTGGGTCAAGGATCTCCAGACGGGCATTGCACAGAACCTGACCGATACCGCTCTGACGCGGGCGGACAACACGTATCCCACTGGTCACTTCCGGCCCTCGTGGTCTCCCAACAGCGAGTGGCTGGTCTTCAGCTCGGACCGCAACACTGACTGGACCGGTCACAGTGAGGGTGTGGGATGGGAACACACCCAGAGCCTGGGCCTGTACGTGATCCGGCCGGACGGTACCGGCCTGCGGACGCTGGTGCGCCAGGATGGCTACTCCTTCGGTACTCCGCAGTGGTCGCGCGATGGAAAGCGCATCATCTACAACAACATGACCCGTGAGGATACCTACGGCTCGCACGGTGTCTCCCAGCAGCAAGCCGCCGTCTCCTCTCAAATCTACAGCGTGGACTTTGCCACGGGCACTGACATTCAGGCCCACACCTCTGGCAGCTACCCCAAGGTCGGCCAGCACTACATCGGCAGTTCCTCCAACATTGGATACCTGGTCAAGGCCGGGCCCTACGAGGGAATCAACTACACCACCCCCGATAAGACTCACAAGGCGTTCAACTCGACGAACATCCGCGATCCCTGGTGGTCCCCCGACGGATCCAAGATCGTCTATCAGACCTGGAACTGGGCTCAGCAGGCCGCCGGTCTGAAGCTCTGGAGCTTCGACGACGACTGGGAGTACCGCTACATGGACGTCTTCCCCATGCACCACCCCTCGACCAACCGTCTGGCCTCCACCCAGAAAGTGCTGGGCAGCGCCAACGGCTCGCTGGTGACCTCCACTCCGCTGTACGCCGACGTGCACGAGGCCCTCGACTCGTACTCCGTCTACAGCGTCAACAACGCCACCCAGGCCGAGTACCTGGCTGAAGGCCAAGCCGGTGCCTTCCAGCCCTCCTGGAGCCCCGATGGTGATGAGCTGGTCGTCGGCTTCGGCGCCTGGTTCACCTCACGCGCGACCAACAATGCGACTTTGTTCCGTACCTTCACCAATGGTACCTCCCACACCAACCTGACCGACGGCTCCTTCAACGCAGGCTTCCCCTCCTGGTCTCCCGATGGATCGGCCATGGTCTACCGCAAGTGGAGCCTCGAAACCGCCGCCCCCGAGGGTCTGCACATCCTCAACTTCACCACCGGCGAGACCCGCCAGCTCACTTTGGGCTGGGACAACACCCCCGGCTGGTCTCCGGATGGTGAGCGCATTGTCTTCACCCGCAACAACAACTGGACGAGCTCCTATGGCGCGCGGTGGTACGCCGACCGCTTCGATATCTACACCATCCGGCCGGATGGCTCCGAGCTCACTCGCGTGACGGACAGTTTGTCGAACGATGCTCAGTAAGTACCCCGCTCGTCTCAAAAAGCCCCTCCCGAGACGCAATGCTAACGTGATGACCTTCTAGTGCCGTCTGGTCCCAGGATGGTCGCATCATGTGGAGTACCGGCATGTACGGCTTCAAGGACGAGAGCGCCCTGTTCGACGACACCTTCCAGCCCTACGGCCAGATCATGGTCATGAACTACGATGGATCGAACAAGACCCTCGTCACGGATACGATTTGGGAGGACTCTATGCCGCTGTACATGCCGAACGAGTATCTTGAGTAGACATCTCGGTCTGCCGTGTGTACAGATTTTGATTATGTTTGTTAGTTTTGCAGAATAAATTCGATTACAAGATCTCTTCACCTGGAGTCTGATTGGTAATGGCGATGCCTGAAGGTCGCTAACTTAAATTCCTGGGTGATTGTGGGCGCTCAGGGTGAATATGCCACAGCTTTGTTCGGTGGTGGTTGACGATGAATACATGCCTTATTCACAGGTTGAGGTGGATTCACTTCTCGTCGGGTTGTATTGACTGTCTGCGTAGATTTCTCTCTCTCTATGTCCCCTACGTCTTACGAGTACTCCTTGTTGGTATTCCGTGCCAAAGGAGAACATACGGCATCACGTGTATAAGGGAAGTGAGGGTGTGTTCCTGCATTCAGATGACGTGAGGATGAGGCTTTTCCGCGATTGGGGAGGAAGGACGCTCCGCATGACTTCACATCAACTCAACATCTCACAGCCTCGACTTTCTTGATCTTTTCTGGCTCATCAACTCGTACAACCCCAATTTGTCCCCCTCCACTGCTACAGCACCCTTTGCAATCCCGCTGTCATCAACCATGTCTTCCTAGCTTAAAGCTATTCAAACCTTGTAGCAAAGCCTCCCACCGAATACCACCAATTATGTTATTCATGCCTTTCTTTGCGCTCTCAGTTTTGTTCTTGTCACTGTTTTTGTCGATTTGATTGATGCCGGTGGCTTGAAATCTCAGCGTGAGAAGATCGTGTCGAAGCCCTGGGACCTGCACACCGTTGCAAGCGAGTCGAATTCGCCCGAGCTAGAAGAGTCGGAGGCGCTCAAGATCCAGATTGTCCCTTGGGACCTCACTGGGCGTACGAATGTCGACGTCTCTCCCGCGCTGAATCCAGCCTCGTACTTCAAGCCCCTATCGCATGAGTACACCCAAGAGCACCCTGTGGATCTCTCCATCCCGGAAAACTGCGAGAAGATGGAAACCACGGCACGTCTCCTCGGGCCTGATTACAGTTGCAGCACAAGCAGGTATGAGCCGATACTGTCCTACGGAAAAGCCCAGATCCTCTCTCATCGCCTGACGGGAGAGATGGAGGCTCCAAGAATGGATTTCCCACTTCACCTGTCCAAGCTGAAGATGGGCGCCAAATGGCGCTGGGATACGTAAGTCTTAGGCCCCACGCAAGTTATTTTTCTGACTAGACGACCTATTTCCTCGCGCTCAGTGACTTCCACCTTGGACCGGCTTTTGATCACGGACCTCCGGGCGTGCAGATGGATACAACTGGGGAATAGACACATTCTGGGCTTGCGCCAACAGCCCAACCTTCCCTCACATCAAAGTGGTCACATACCATGATGATGTCGAGCACCCAGAGAGACTCTTGAAGGCAGAGCTGATGGTCCTCGCCGCCACGATGCACTCGCGGCTGGGCATGGAGACCCTGACAGACCATGCCATTGGGCCTGTAGGTCCAGATGACTCTTTCCTCCACGACGGAAGCTGTCTGCGCGTCTCGAAATCAGACCTGATGCCATACTCAGAGAAATCCGACGAGCTCTGGAGTCTCCTCGTGCGATACCTTGCCGGAGGCATCAATGGAGAGCTGAGCACTCACAAGCTACCTTCAGTGAACGCAGCAGCGAAGTGAATCTGCATTCGTTAGAGTTTTTCGGTCAGGAAGATCGAAACAAGAATACCCATCAGAGCAAGCCTGCTACTTTGCTACCTACCCGGCGCATATCCTTCCTTTAATACGGTATCCTAATTGCTATCTGTCGGCGGCCCTGAAGCCTCGATAGCCAGGCTGACCACCGCCCACCACGTCGGTGGATATTTCCACTCAGATAATCTCACGTAGTCTGAATTCAACCATCTACACACGCCCTGTACCCGGCTTTTTCAGGACTTCCAAGCTAGAACGTAGATCCCACCTCAGGCATCCTCCTTCTCGCCTCCCCTCCCCTCCCCACCTAACAACACCCCCTCCTCACAACTCGCCACGCTCGCGATCTGCCACCGGCGAATCACATCCCCCTTCCACATCAACAGCCCGACGAACAGGAAGGAAAAGACCGCAAAGAAGGCCATCATCCCATACACCCAGCCCACGCCCACCGCCTCCACCCACGGATCGATGTAGAAGCTGATGGTCAGCCCGTACACGATCCGATACGCGCCCACCACGATCCCGGCCTCGGCCGGGTACCGCGTGAAGCACTCCACCACGTAGTTCACCGTGACGGGCACGCTCGCCAGCGACCCCACCGTCACGATGAACACCGCCAGCGCCAGCACCATGTAGTGCAGGTGGTACTGCAGGGTGGCGCCGAAGAGGCCCAGGCCGATCGGGTTGAGCACCAGACTGGGGAGCCACAGGACGTGCAGCCGGTACTCGGGCTTCCAGATGCCCTGCGGGGACCGGCGCCGGGCGAGCAGCAGCGGCAGCCGGTCGGCGTAGTGGTGGCCCCCCAGCTGCACGAGCAGGATCCCGATCCAGTGGCAGAAGGTAAACGCGGCGTTCTGGCGGAGGGTGAAGCCGTACCCCCCCTCGGCCGGGGCGCGCTGCAGCCACACGGGCACGAGCGCGTTCATGCCGACGTAGAAGCCGAAGGAGATCAGGGTGAAGGTGCCCATGATCAGGGTGACGGGGCAGAGGCCGATGAGCACGGGGGCCACCGCGATCTTGGCGGTGGTCGACCAGGGGGTCGGGGGCATGAGGGCCTGGCCGAAGAGGAAGGTGACTCGGCGGTTGGCCAGCCAGCTGGCTGGCGGGGTGCGATTGCGTTCGGGGTGCTCGCGGTCGTAGGCGGTCTCTTCGAGGAAGAGCACGATCAGGATGGCGGTGGCGCCCAGGAGGCCCACGGTCCACCAGAATTCGACGGGGAAGAAGGTCCCTGCCGAGATGAAGGCCGAGAAGGTTGGGCCCGCGATCGTGCCGAAGAGGAAGGCCATGTGCAGCGCCGTGAAGGCGCGTCCGCGCTGGTGCAGGAACAGCAGGTCGGTGATCATCCGCGGTCCGATCACGGTGGGCACCGCCCCGAAGAACCCGGCGAACAGGCGCGACATCACGTACGCGATGTACTCGTCCGAGTGGGTCATCACGGCCGCCCAGATCTGGCAGACCAGGGTGCACACGATGCTCCAGAAGATCACGGAGCTGCGGCCGAGTCGGTGGGCGAAGGGCGCCACGAAGAAGGGCCCAAAGGCCATCCCGGCTAGGGCTGCCGAGTTCTGCGGGGTTGTGTTAGAGCAGACACCACATTTCGGGGTCTTGAAGACGAGGAACGCACCGCATACGACTCTTGAACCTTGGTTTTGCCATAGATCTGAGCCTGTTGGACCAGATTCAACTGGCCAGACAGCGGGGCAATGGCCCCCGAGAATGAAGCCAGACAGAGCACGGCCAGAATCAGGTACTTGCGTCGATGTGGCCAATTCTGGGGTAAGACAATTGCCAAGTCAGTTAAGGGTCACCATCTTCAGCAATTAGAGGGGATGATAGGACCCATGTCTCACTTACCAGTGGGTCCTGGGGGCTGTGGCTGGGCTCAGGCACCAACACAATGCGATGGTGAGGGCGTTTTTCTGACTCCATGTCGACCATTGTGCTCGCACAATCCAAGGGCAAAATGACGACTTCGGCCACGTTTCAGTGAACTGACGAGAATTTCAATCTTTGCGCCCGGCAGCGCAACCCCTGACTGACCCCGTCGATCCTTTCCTGGACGCGTCAGCCCCTCGGCTGTGGCGTGTGGCGCTCCGGGTAATTAAAGCCGATCTCGGACATACTCATAATGGCCCTGATTCTCGTGAGGCTGGACCACAAGATATGAATCTGAACATGAGACTCTCTACCTGAGGGCTTGAATATCGTACGGATAGTTGGTGAAGTCTGCTCGCTAACCATGCAGCTCTTCAGGAAGTGAGAACTACTAATCCGGGCACCATTAGTGGATCTAAAACAATTAGTCAAGGAGCAAAGAACCTGCACACAAAATTGACATCGTAGATATATCTAGAAGTCATTCCTGTAGCTGCAACTGGTGGATATCGAACATGGCCCATGCATACGCTATGGTTTATGGGCCAAGTAGGGCTCGGCTTCCACGCGTATGCACGGACCACTACTGATATGCTGCATCTTTCCGTAGTAGTTGAAGACGAAGAGAAGATTAGAGGAGTCAAGAGACATCTTTCACATAGACTTGACTGTCTTTGAAATACAGACGTTCATCTCCTACACTCACTTACGATGCTTAGAGATTGAACAGTGACAAGTCTGCATCACCTACCCGACCGCCGCCATAGCAACCTCGACACCGCTCGCAATGGTCCAGTTGAACCCTACAAAGGCGACTACTATCTCTGGAAATACGTCCCCAACCTCGGTGCCGCTGTGGTCTTCCTCCTCATCTTCGCCGTCTTGACAGCCATGCACACCTACCGTCTCATCAAGACGCGGACCTGGTTCTGTCTCCCGTTTGCCGCAGGCGGCATCTGTATGTCCCCCCAGCCCCTGCCACCCCCCCGCCCACTTCGTCCAACACGCACGCTCACCACCCCCACCCTCAAGTTGAACTCTACGGCTACGGCGGCCGCATCGGCGCCCACAAGAACACCTCCTCCCTATTTTCCTACGCCCTCGCCAACGACGGCCTCCTCCTGACACCCGTCCTCTTCGCCGCCTCGGTCTACATGACCCTGGGCCGGGTGATCCGCGCCCTGCACGCCCAGAAGTTCGCCCTCCTGCCGCTGACCTGGCTCACCCGGGCGTTCGTGATCGGGGACGTCCTCTCGTTCGCGGTGCAGGGCTCCTCGGTGGATCTCAGCGTGACGGGCCACACGGCCGGCGCAAAAGCCGTGGTGCTGCTGGGGTTGTTCATCCAGCTTCTCTCGTTCGGCATCTTCAGGGCCACTGCGGTGGTGTTCTACCGGCGCATCTTGGCGGTTCCCACGCCGTAGTGCTTCAATCCACTTTTCCTCAGGCGAGAGATCTTGTATGTGAGGTAGGGGGTCGCGAGGCTGGCTTGGATGATGGTTTCGAGAGATGTGGCGGATCCCTCGTGGTGCTGGGCGAGGGAATCGAAGACGACAGTGGTGAAGTGGTGGTAGAGCTCGAGATGGAGCATGGATACCGATACTGCTGGAGAGGCATTGTCCTGGGTTGATGAGGCAGAGGATGAGCTGGTGCTCGAATTGGTGGTACTCGAGATCTCAGATATTGTTATGGCCGAGGGAGCCATGATGGGTGGTGGAGGGCGAGCGTTGTTGGATCTTCAGCTCTCCGGTGGGGAACACGCATTCCCGTGCCGAGTCCCGACATCTTTTTACACTGCGGGGGGCTTTCATCGCACTTATGATGTTAGGATTCCGGGTTGCTGGTGCTTCCTGGTGTTTACTGGGGCTTACGTACCTTGATGTGACGTCGCCTGCAATCAACACAGCCGTTGCGGGACTTGCTGTGAGCCTTGCGTGGCCGCATTAGTAATGACCTCGAATGGCGAAAACCGGAGGGCCTAGGGCCTAACAACAATTAAAATGTTCAGCGTGCTTGAAGGAATTACATATTTGTATAATTGAGAAAGGAATTCGGCGAGACTGGCCCATGCCTACGAACCCTAAGAAGGTGGGGGGTGGAGTGAGTGACTGAGTGGTCTGTGCATACGCGTATCCACAAAACTCCGGTCAAATCCATGGAACGCCCCAAGTGGCGAAAAAGACGAGTTTTAGGATTGAGACCAGGGAAAACAGCTAACACCAATTATAATTTGATCGGCTATTGGCGCAATGATCAATTTTCCACATCAACTCCTGTGCAATGTTGGTTCCATCTTCGAATTGTTGCCAACGAGCTCAGGCGCCTAGGCCATTATACCCTTCACCTGGCACAATTACTGCCCCTTCAAGTGGACCAAGCGTATCTGGAGTCTCCAAAGCCTGACCGGGAAAAACCATCCATTCCGCCCAGTCCGGTCCGAGCGACTCCCGAATGGATTCGATCAGATACCGTCCGCCATCGCCCAAGAACCAGCGATGGCGATGTGCATGCAGGACGATCCCATAATGCGCCAGCACCGCGAGAGCATCGGGGCTACGACGCGCGAGAAGATCGATGTACTCCAGGGGAACACTGGTCGACCACGCAAGAACCGCCGGAGTGCAGTCTGCCCACGCCCCCGGAAAGGCTGCTGAGGTCATCGCCAACTGCAGCCCTTCGATCGCGTGTTGATACGTTGCGGTGACCGAGGGACCCAACTTGGCCTGTTGGACGAGTGTCAGCAGGCGACTGCACGCCGGGCCAAGACTCCCATCCGCCTGCAGTAGGGACTCCGCGGCGCCCAGTACTGGCCCCAAGGGTGTGTTCTCCCTCAAAGCGCGCCAACTGCCCCCCAAGACAGTGCGCACACCGCGATGCAAGCGGAGATAATGAACAAAGGAATCGAGGAAGACATCGAAGTCGGTATCGCGGAAGAGAAGGGTTACGCATAGCGTATGCAGGCCAAGGATGGAGGAGAAAAGGAAACGAGGGGTGACGTCCGGGTCGGCTGCGCTGTAGAAGGCTCGCAAGGCATGGATCTGTAACCGAGTAGCATGATCCCGGTAGACCTCCCGCTGGGCAGGACGAATGATACTGATGTGCGTGGCGGCGAGGGCCAAAAGCTCATTTGCGAGGTATGGGACTTTGAAGCAGTACTGGAGAATCTCGCGTGAAGACCAGATCATTTGATAGCTGCTGTTGTCGCAAACAGATGGAAGAGTCTCGGTGAATAGGTGACACAGCAGCTCAGCATGAAGCATGTTAACCGGTGGTTCATCAGAGGATGTCCCGCTGGTGAAACTCGTCGGCGATGCCTCTTCTGCTGGGGTTGCTGGGAAAGAAGGGGTTTGCCTTCTAGGACTGGCCGGTCGAAAGGATAGAACACGCAGCTCAGCAAACCCGCAAGTTCGTTCTGATATTGTGCACGGCGAGCATATTGGCCGCCTTTCGTCACACTTTCGGACGATTCAGTGTCACTCCAAGGTTGGAAAGTGAAATGATCCGAGAGAAAAGGGGTAAGGTGCGGTACATACCTTTATACGTCGACGTTTACACTCTAAGCAGCCAAATCGTGATTTCTTGTGCTTTCTGCGAGCCATCACATAGAGGATCAAAGCCGTCGGGGTTGCAAACAAGATACCTGTAAACTTTTACGTATATGAGGTTCCAAGAATGCCAGAATTGATCGGCAGAAGGCGGCGGGGCTCTGACTAATATTACAGAACAGAAACACGCATACAGTGAATAATCCTCCAGGAGCCCTCTTTTCGGGCATATGAATTCAAGGATCCACCCGTCTAAACCCCCCTTATTCATCGTCCAAGCTGCTCTGATTCAGCAACTCCATTGCCATATCGGGCTTGGAAAGTAACCCCGGATACCAAATCAGCCAGGCGACCATAGCTAGCCACATTAGAAGAGCGTCGAAAATGTACAGGGTCCACTCGTGGGTGAGGGGGTAGCCCGTGCTTCCCATCATAAATTCGGCCACTCGAAACAAGGAGCGGATCATGATCAGCAGGCTCACCCCATACAAGAGATGAAGGTGATCTCGCCAGTGGAGGCGGGGATCGTGGGCTCCGGGAGTTGGATGCCGCCGTAGACGGATTTGAAACACCATGGCTGTGATGATGAAAAAGGCGAACATGAAGACCTGGATGAGCAGGCCCGCCACCACGATGTCCTGACCGAGTTGTGCATTGCTCCCGGAGGCCATCAATCCCGCGGCGCCCCCTTGAACGAGGAAGGAGACCACATCGCCCATCACGAAAGTCCTGGTGAGCCAGCGCATCGGGATTAGGGAGTGATGATCGGCCCCGGTGCTGCGGATGATGTGACCCAGCACCATGTATACTGACGCTGCAAACAAGACCGGTCCGAGCAGGAGTAAGACGTTCTGAATCGAGTAAGGCATGATACTGCCGGATTCGAAGTGCGCCCACACCCGGGCAGCGCAGCCGATGACTTCGACTAAAAGGCCCTTCTGTCAGCCTCAGCTCTTAACATCAGGCAATGTGCCGAAAGGGCAACAAGAACTGGGACAATGGGGGGGGGGCACATACATATTCCGCCGATTGCAAAGGGGATGCAGAAACGAGCCCTCCATTTGACCAATTTGATAAAGTGTAGCACTGTCGCGACCGCGAAGAAGATAGCGAATATTACGGCGGCAACCAGCGAAGGCAGATATTGCCAGAGATACTATCCATGTCTGTAGGGCTCGAGCTTAGCCATGCAGCATGGACTTGGGCTAGGTTCGACAAGTTCACGGTGTGTTATGATGTGTCGAAGTTGGAATCACCGAAATCAGAAGAAAGCCCATGACTTTAACCAGTTTTCATTCCATCCTACGCAGATGGTTGTTGTTGAGAGATCGACTCAATTCTAAGGGATCAAGCGAGATGGGGTCCGCTTTGAAGGGTGGAAGTGTGGGCGTGTGGAAGAGTGGTGGGAGCTTCCGCTGTGACTGCGAGCTCTAAACGCGTATAGAGCATCATACTTCACAGTACAAGATGAAAACTGGTCTGTGCAAGCGCGTATAGACGTATAGACTTATTCTACTCACTGTTCTCTACCTGTGAATTGTGGACTGACTTGTTGGATCTCCAATGTCCGATATCCGAAATGGTGTGTCTGTGCATACGCGTATCGCCTCAATTGCCCGATGCGGCAAGGTCGGGAGGGTCCGACTCCATACTCCATACCCCATCCCTTAGTTATTGATTCCTTTGATTCATCAAATATTACTATTTATGTGGACGGTACGCCTGGCTGATCTCATCTTTCATCACCCTCACCCCCCACCTGCATTTACAACCTTCCAACTCGAACCATGCGTCTCATGGCTGTTGGAGGAGGAATCATTCCCATTTCGTTGGGATTGATCTCATCCGGCCTCGCATCTGTCGCATCGACCTCCTTCGAACCACCCACACCAGAGCCCATCGAAGTGGTCCAACTACCACTGCCACCTGTTGTGCCGACCGACGAGATTGGCGCCTGTACTCACCATCTGAATCCGCACGGGACCGGATGTATGGGCAAATCATCCCTGATGAATGGCGGGGACTTCTCGCCGGACGGGAACCACGTCCTCGTCAGCTTGAATTTCACCGGGGCACCGTCAGCCCCAGACCCCGCCAGTATCTACACTGGCGTGCAACTGATCCTGGTCAGCACCAACGGGACCCATTTCTCTACTGGGAGCCCGTGGAAATGCCTGACGTGCGGTGTCCCGGAGAGCAATAAAGGGAGCAGTTCGTCGCTGGCCGACTATCCGCAAGCCTTCTCCGACGGCAAACGAGCCCTAGCCGGCAACAACATCGTCGAATGTCGATCTGGCCTGCTGGCCAGTGATGCTTGCACTCCGGACCAGATCCACATCTATCCCATCCGGTTAAGCAACACGGCCGACGATTCCGGGTCTGGAGCCATTATCCGGGAGCTGCGCCTGCACCCCGACAATGTCCACCTGGGTCTCAACTCTTTCTCCGTCACCGGATCGGGACAGCTCAGCCAACACGCCTATTTCGGTCGACTGCAGTTCAGCGACTCCCCTGCCACCGGTTCCCCTCGCCCCGCGCGATATGACCTCGTCAACGTCACCGTCCTGGTTGCACCAAATGGTCCCCTTCCTTATACCGTCGCCGGTGATCAGCTGCAGATCAACCGCCAGGCATTAGTGGTGGGGGAGTTTCGGGGCTTTGCCAGTCGCGGACAAGAAGTCCTGTACATTGGACTCCCCTGGGAATCCTGCAACATCGATCTCTTCGCGGCCGACTTGACTACTGGCCGGGTGCGCCGGGTGACAACGCACCCAGGCTATGTGGACCCGGTGGGGGTCTCTCCGGATGGCCGCTGGCAGGTGATCCTGGACACGCGGGGCACCGATCGGATGGAGTTTCTGTCTGCCATGCGCGGGGTCCCTCCTGTGGTCGACCTGCTGACAGTCACTACGGTCGCATCGGTGCGCAACAATGGCGATCGACGATTCTTCCAGCCGTGGCTGCTGGACGCCCAGGGAGACCGCGATGGTCCTGACTACTACTACTACGGCCAACAGATCAACGCTGGCGGGGATGGCCAGCCGGGCAGCATCAACGACCCCAACTGGAACGCCGGCGCTGATCCTCGCTGGTCTCCGGATGGCACGCGCATCATGTACTGGCAGAAGATGGTCGTGCCCCCTGCCTGTGGGGGGATCAATCCCCTATCATGTCCCAAGTCGACGGAGCCAGGCGGCCGAATCTCGCGTCTGATGATTGCGCGACTCACCAGTCGCCAGCCCTACCATCTCGACCCCGTGGAGCCATTCGCCGATAGAGTCCCCTGGGGCCTCCCTTACACCCCTGGCGAGAGCGTGCCAGAAGTCTTCAACCTATCCCCGGGCAACTATACGCTACACGGGCAAGTCTCGGGCTCAGCGGACGTGATTCTTCGCAACACTACGACTGCGTCGGCGCTTGACTTTGTCGCTGTCACGTACCATAATTACTCCGACGATGGCGTGCATTATATCCAAGGCCACGAGTCGGTGGCCTCCACCTTTTTGTCGGTCACATCGGCCCTGCTGGATTGGTATTCGAATCTGACAGCCACGGGGGCCACATCCAGCACCAAGGTCACTGGACCAGGGGGGTTTCACGTCGTCGACGATGCCATGCTCAATGTGTTCGTGGCCAACGGGACCCTCGTCACGACGGTGGACGGGGTGGTGTACAAGCAGCCTTTGACTGGGACGTGAGATGAACAAAGTCAGTTATCGTCCTTGAGTATATACAATCATTTACCATAATGCCACTTCTTTGCCGCCCAGCTTCCATCTAATCTATGTACAGCTTTTTTCAAGAGCTGGTCCAAGGAAAATGGAAGAACAAAACATCGCAGAGGGTAAGGATGATACCCCAGACACCGTATTTCTCCAGCTCCTCTTGCTTTACAAACCCTTCATCATCTTCATCTCCCGATCTATACCGACTGCACCCGCTCCTGCCTTTCCTCCCACTCCCGCTCCAACATCCCAAACACCACATCATCATACCACTTCCCATCGTGCCAGAACGCCTCCCGCCGACGGCCCTCCAACCTGAACCCCAACCGCTCATACAACCGCACCGCCCCCTCATTGTACGCCAGGGCCTGGATCTCCACGCGATGCAGCCCCGCCCGCCGGAACGCCCAGTGCAGCACCCAGTTGATCGCCTCGCTGCCGTACCCCTGCCCGCGGTACCCGCGGGCGATGTCGATGGTGATGGAGGTACCGCGGTGGTGGGCGTAGTCCCCGCCCTCGCGGCGGAGGGAGATCACTCCGATCGGCGTCCCGGGGGTGGCTGTCTGCGTCTGCGTCTGCATCTTCGGGGTATCCTCTGCAGCATTGGAGGTAAGGGATTCGCCATTCGACGGGGGATGCGGCAGCACGATGATGGCGGCCAGCAGCGCCCGCTCCATCAGGGACTTCTTGTACCCATTGACGGTGTCGCGTTTGGCTTGCGGTTTGGGCAAGGCGGGCGTCGAGTTGGAGTAGGCTTCTGGGTCGGATTGGATGGCGTGCAGGAAGTCTTCGTCTTCCGGGGTGTCTTCCAGGGCGCGGTAGGTGAGGCGGGCGGATTGGAGGTAGGACATTTTCTCTTTTGGTTCCGTCTGCTTTGCGCGGAGAATTGGAAGATACAGAGACAGGAGCTTGAGTGGGGATCAGGAGATTCTCGTGGTTTTGTTGATGCATGGTGCTGTGAGTCACTCTATAGGGTTGGCGAGGGAAGCTGAGGCTATACTGCTTTGGGTCCCCGCCTCGACGGGCTTATCGTGGACCAAGCGAGCCATCGAGTTACGGCTTGGGATTCAGGATTCAGGGGTCTTTTCTTAGTGTGGCTAGGCTGAAGATATGGTCTTCTCATCACGATAGATCATAAATTAATCCGACTTGAGTTAGTCATGGCTGGCCGACATTAGTTAAGCCAAGTCCGTCGGACATCCGGCTGGTATTTCCGGGGGCGGGAATCACGGACTTGTGTCGATCATCGATCGGCCTCACCAGATGAAAAGAATAAATATCTCGATATTGCATTCCGGACAATGGGGGAGTTGTGGGCGTGTCTCATCGACAGCATTGGGGCTCTATGGCGAACTCTAGACTCACGAATCATGTCTTGCGCGTGCATCAGTGTGCCTCAAGCTTACATGCTGGCAGCTTAGGGCAAGGCCCGAGCCGTTCGCCGCTGCACAGCCCCATCTAACAGACTCGGGTGATGCAGGCGTGATGAAGAAGGACGAGGAATACGAGGTGGCGATAGACGCTATGGCCTCCGCCTCTACAGCCAATCCTCCCAGGCTCACAGGTTTGCAGGTAGAAATTAAACATTAAGTAGAGACCAAAGATATGATACAGCACCGCAGGATCGAGAGGTACAACTAGCCCATCGAAACATCTCCTTTCACCTGTTCACCATCATCGCTGCCACCTACTTTCACCTGTTGTCGCACAAGCCACAGCTCGTACTTGACCAGGATCCGGCACACCACCGCTGAGGCCACGAACCGCACCACGATGAACAGGGCATCGTTGGGGGAGATAAAAAGCATGCTTGAGAACTGCAGAATCCCCAGGAGCGTGTTGGCCGCGGCGAGTAGCCCTGTGAACCAGGAGATCAGCACATTACCCACCGTGCGGTCCCGCAACTGGACCTCGGTCGCGTCGCTGCTACTGTCCGACGCGGTGAACTGCGCTCGCACCCACCGGAGCACCCGAGTGGGAAGACTGATGTTACTCGTCCGACCGCCACGAAGGTGCACGCGCGTGCGGAGTGCGACGGTCATCAAGAGGTGGGTGGCCACGCCGACGGCGACCCACAGTCCGGGCATCCACTGTAACTGTTGGGCGAAAGAGAAGATGACACGCAGGCAGATCTCATAGGCGAGGACCAACACATTGCCCGCCGCCGCCACGGCGAGGAAGAACTCCAGAACCACGATGGCGAGGTTGTGATGCAACAACAGCGCAGAGGAGTCGGCGGAGAGCCACTCGCGGGAGCCCTTCAGGTCCTGGACGTGCTGGTGGAGGTTGCCCGAGGCGTCGACCGCGCTGGCCGGGGAGGCGACCATGAGGAGAAACGAGAGGAGCTGGCGGTCGCCGAAGACGAAGAGCATGGCCGTCTCGTGGGCGCTGGGGCTGATGCTAGCCAGCAGCGTGGGCATCAGCCCCAGCACCACCTGTGCGCTGGCCATCATGGATTTGTAGAGCTCCGGCGTGGCCCGCAGCAGGCAGTTGGTTAGCGGGGTCACCGCACTGTCAACATGCCAGATCGCAAGCTCGGGGTCATTCGCGGTCAGGTTTCCGACCGGTTGGTCTCCGGTCAGGTATGCGTCGTATTGTGCGGAGCAATTCGTGGTTTTGATTGTGTTGATTGCGCTCCGGTACCTCGGCCACCAGGAGCTGAAGCGTTGCGGTTCGGCTGCGACGCATGTTGATAGGGAAACGAAGAGGATGAGAATCATCCCCACTGTCTGTCGTAGCATCGACATTGTCCGGTCAAGTGGAGCTGTAGCGCAGCATGCGAGTGTATACTAGAAAGCCAAATGAAGCCAGAATGCGGAGAATTGAACGGGGTCGACGAAGCATTCTGCAGGACGCCTGAGTGTCCGCTTTGAAGGTATATATACTGTGGAAATGGCCGTAGCAGCTCGCCCTGTATCTGCATCTTCGTATCATAAACCAATCATCTCGTCACATCAAAGATGGGCGCGGAAGCTCTGATGATGCTTGCACATGGTGTGCAGTAGGCATCCATATTCTTGATGATCGCCAGCACTGGAAGACAGGTAGGAGTCATGGGAATAGGAGATTTGCATGAAGCCTGACGGCAGCGGTCGTTCACAAAGCAGATCGGTGAGGAATTCCACAAGCATGGACTGTCGACACGATCTTTCTCGGCAGATCAGCGCCGAAACTCCAATTAGGCTAGGGATTGCTGTGGCTCATGTTGGTGGCTTCCTCAGGCAGCGGGATTAAGAGACGGTGGCATAGCCATCGCGTGCTTGGCCCGGCCGGCACTGCCTCCTCTTCAGCATTATGCAATGCGTATTCAATTCGTACTGCGTACTTCGTACCTGGTTATCTTGACTAAGATGTATAACATCCGATCACTCCAACATTGGGTGGTTTTGGTGCAGTACGTGGCTAGGGCCGTTGGCATAGCACAGCCTCCTTTTCAGCTTCCCCGCGCTGCTCCCTATTGGTGACAGAAGTCCGTGACGAGCAGGCTGCATGGCTTCTTGGCATCCTTCCAGAAACCACATGGTATGTTGATCGAATTCACAGGCTGATAACAGCGGAAGCAGTGCCTCAATGCTTCGTGATGACGAATTTGAATTGAAGTCTCTTCCCAAGGTCTTCTTGACAAGAGCGCCAAGAGCGCGCGTCTGTGTGGCTGTGCTGTCGGAAGCTGCAAGTCATTTAGATGACATGTTGCCCTCCTTTCGACAGAGTTAATCGCCCACCTGGCAGGGTCCGAGACCATACCAGACCGGAATTCTTGAATGAAGCTCGGACCAGGATAGAGCTACCTACGCTTTGGTTCGACGCTTAACATGTCTGACGTTCAATATCTCCAGAGTTCTCTTCTATCTCGAACAAAGACACACAGTTATGAGCATAGCTTCTTGTAAGATAACCTGTCGAAGATTCACCTCGTATCTCATAAACTGTACTTTTCCACTCTTACCAGTTCATTCAAAGGAAAGCCCGACCATGGAGGCTCGACCAGGTTCTACATGATACGTTTTGATGACTTCTCTTCCCACCAGATATCACATGTCACGCTGGATGACTCCACCAATCGCTCGGTCAAAATAGCTGCCACTTCCACCTCATCTTGGAGCATCGAAGGTTCTCCCAGCATCTACAACACAGGCAAGTTGTACAACGTCACAACACTCGAAGCTGCGGTTTCTCACCCAGTGGTTCCAACCACGATCCCAAGCAAACCCCGATGCCTTGATTTTGGATCCCGGGGTTGACCAAGAGGGTGTCGATCCGAGTCGTATCATTCCACGGACTGGTCTAGCCTCCAATACTCGGTTCCATGGGCTTCTCGGTTCGGTTGGATCATTTGCCACCGACGCAGCAAACAAGGAGACCGATGTACGCTGGAACCAGGATCCAACGGTAATAGCGGGCTGGGGTAAGCTACCGAATAGCACAATCTCCCGGGGTCGAGCTCGGTTAGCGCTTCCCGAGCTCCAAGGGATTCCTTGATTTAGGGCTGGTAGGTTCAGGGTTGATTCTAGAGCTGTCCATCCGGGTCTTCCTGAGCAGTGACAGCGCCGATCGCACTGGCTACACAGCTAAACTGATGCATGATGGAGAAAAGGGACTAAGTTAATAGAGTATAGTCAATAGCAATAGCAATACCGTTATAGAATTATAGGATGCAGAAGTGGCCAGAACATAGAATGGCGTGATACTATTACATCACTTGAGAATGATTGTTGTTGCACCGGAGCACAGGAGAGCTGAAAGGCAGCACGATAACCGGAGGGTCACGTGGTCGGGGTCGAAGCGGCCAGAAGAATCGCGGAGCATCGCAGAGCATGGCGGAACCCACTCGGCCGGTCCGGCCGATTCTCGCAACTTCCAAGGCCACTCCGCTGGCTGCCTCAGGCACCTTCCAGAGCCATCTAGAGCTGTCGAGTGCACGAGTGCAACACTCATCCATGGATCATCCACCCCGGCAGGTGGCATCATCAACATCCTCAATCATGGCTGTCGAAAGGTATAAAGGCCCCCTTGAGCTCCGGTCAAGTCACTCTTCATCAGATCAGAATCAATCAAGCACTCAACGAGAACAACAACTACTCTAATCCTCTCCAACTACCACCACTACCACTACAACGCGCTCTTCTACAAACTCTTTTCTACATCTACAACCAACTACTACAACCACCATGTCTCTCTTCCGCAGCATCCCTTCCGCTGGTGAATTCGGCCCTCTCTTCCGTCTCCTGGACGACTATGACCTCCACCGCTCCGGCCAGGGCGCCAGCTCCTCCACCACCACCGCCCGCTCTTTCGCGCCTCGCTTCGACGTCCGCGAGACCGCAGAGGGCTACCACCTCGACGGCGAGCTGCCCGGCATTGCCCAGAAGGACGTCGACATTGAGTTCTCCGACCCCCAGACTCTCGTGATCAAGGGTCGCACCGAACGCGAGTACCACAACTTCGACGAGAGCGAGGAGGGCCAGCAGGGCCAGCAGGGCCAGCAGGAGACCACCACCCAGGAGAACAAGGACAAGGAGAAGGCCACCGAAAGCACGGAGGTCTCCAAGACCGGCGACAAGCAGGTCGGCAAGAACCACAAGAACAAGCCGCACTTCTGGGTCAGCGAGCGCTCCATCGGCGAGTTCCACCGCACTTTCAGCTTCCCCACCCGCGTCGACCAGGACAGTGTCAAGGCCAGCCTGAAGAACGGCATCCTCTCCATCTTCGTGCCCAAGGCCGCCAAGCCCACTTCCAAGAAGATCACCATTGAGTAAGTGGGGGGCACCAGATGAGCCGAGCGAGGCGAGACGCGACGCGACGAGATGAGAATTTGTGACCGGTCGAAGTTTTAGCATAGCGATCGAATTTGTGGCTTTCAACTTGTTTTGTGTTTTTCTTCTTGAGCTGGTTGATTGAGAAGATGGTTGCGCTTTCATTCCTTCTGATGTCTTCTGCTGAGCACTGGGTGTCATTCCTTACGATACTGTTCGCTAATAGTTAATCCAATCTGTTATCCATTATCTTGTCTCTCCCTCACTGGTAGACTGTAGCCGTCCCATGAACGAAGTAAAAGCAAGACAATTGGCCTCGAGTAGGAAGATAATACCTACACTGTTTCGCACGACCGAGGTCTATCGCCATCTATCGCCAGCAGCCAGAGCTGACTTTGGCATCACTCTTCGCCTTTTGATCCATGGTTGCAGCTAACCACAGTCCTATCATCTGCTTCCTCGATGGTCTAACGGTCATGATTTCCGCTTGTCAATCCCATCCGGGAACAAGCGCGGGAGACCTGGGTTCGACTCCCAGTCGGGGAGATCTCTTTTTTTGTTTTTGTTTTTTTCTTTTTTTAAAATCCTTCTTTTCAGTACATCTTCTTTGCTCTTTTGTGTCAATGATTATGGGAAATTGTCCTGGCATTTTTGACTACCTCTTCGCTACGTAGGTTCGCATCACCGCCGGTATTGCGACCGTTTCCGCCCAGACCATCTGCCGGTTGGACTATATATATGTGGTTCCGTCCCAACCCTCCACCCCTAACCCCTAGCATCTTGCGTCCTGGTCAACTCGCCCTCGTACGCTTGTTACCGCATTAATAGGTACTCCAACCTGGGAGGTGATCGTTTCACGCGGTATCAAATCCCACAATGACCATGCCTCATGCAACCACAAATATGATGCACGGGCTGTAGCGCAGCAGTAGCGCATCACTCACGTGACCTACATGTTCCGGTCGCAGCGGGCCGGCATCGATGCCTGAGGCACCACGTTCGGCACCCAGTACTTTTTTGTTGTTGCGGTTAACAGATTATGCTGGTTCTCTAGCACGGAATTAATACCGACCATGCTCTCACTCACCAGACCGATCGAAAGCGTTAGATACGTATACAAGTAGACGCGGCGCGGCGCAGATCCAGACCTTAATTGATCTACAGCATCCTCGCATGAAGGAATCCGACCAATCTACCTACTACGGTAGTACCCACGTACTACTAGGTCCCCTCACCATAATCAATGCCAGCACATTCTACCAAACACCAAGAACCAGCCCTCCAAGCAAGCAAAGCACAAGTAGATTCTAGCCGCAGTATACAATACTTCTCCGACATCGCACCAAGTTCAGCACCGAGCATGAACCTCAGCCCTAACGACTGGAGTAGCCAATGCTGGTGGAGCAAGAAAGGTAACGTCAAACGATCAAAAATATCAAACCAATCCAGCATAGCAAATCAAATAGGGAATCAACCATTATTTCATCCTAAGCCCGCCTACAGGCGGAATTACCCGTGACATCCAACATTTTCCGTCGAGAAGACTGACGACGAGCCTATGCACTCAGGGTGCACTTGGAGGCGGCATTGACCCAGCCGGTGAGCCGGTTGGCAACATCGGTGGCATAGCAGGCGGTGCCGACGCCGACGTTCAGGTTGGAGGCGTCGGAGATGGAGCCCGAGTTGTACAGGCGGGCGGCGCGGTAGAAGCCGGAGACGTCCGTCTTGCCCTGCTGGTCGATCAGGCTGGCGAGTCCGTCGCCGGCGGCGGTTCCGATGGCTGTGTTAGGGGAAGGAATTAGTGTCTGCGCTGAAATGAGATTCGGGGGTTGAAAGGGGGCACTCACCCCCATCGCGAACCATCTGGAGGATCTCGTTCTTCGGGCACGGGTTCTGGACCACCCCGTTGTCGTTGCAAGTGCCGGCGCCATCATGATCCTGCATGAGGCCCGGGTTGCGGACGCCGTAGTTGGTGGTGTGCACGCGGACGCAGCCCTTGGATTCCTGCATGATGATGGCCAGGATGAACCGGTGGTCGAGGTGGGACTCCTTGGCCACCTGCTGGATCGCGTCGTACAGGTTCTGGGTCTCGTTGGCCGAGTTGTTGGGCACGCCGAACTGGGTGCACGACTCCATGATGGTGGGCTTGTTGGCCTTCCACATGTCGTCGAAGGAGACCCAGCTGGACTGGGCGGGCCAGCCGTCGGCGACGCTGCCGTCCCCGGTGTGGAAGGTGTAGACATCCTGTCCCGCTCCGCTGCCGTCGTTGTCCTTGAGCGCGGTCACGGCCAGGCTGCTGACGCTGACCACGGCATTGGTGGCGCGGGTGGCCAGGTTCTTGGTCCGACTGCCCATGGGGACAGCGGCGGAGAGGCCGACCAGAGTGGCGGCGGCAAGAAGGAAGTTGTTCAACTGCATTTTGATGGAGGTACTGTTTTGGTTATAGGGTTATAGGGTTATGGAAGAATAACAGACAGAATCAAGGAGGTGATAGAGAGAGAGTGTGTGTGTGTGTATGTGTAAATGAACGAATGAATGTGATGAGACTAGTCAATAGTCTCCAAAAGCAAAGAATAAGGAATGACGATGTCGTGAACGACTAGAATCTGCAAGCTTGCACTGCAAGTTGACGAGGGAATGAGGATGATGAGAATGAAGATGCATCTTGAGGGGTAGCGGACGAGGTCTTTATACGCCCGTCGTTGTGAAGAAAAAAAAAGGCCCATCGTTGCAGGAGGAAGCGAGGCCAACAGTAAAGTCTATTCGCTGCCATAGTGGGCACCAGGGAGTTCGTTCCTGCGGCCCCTGTGCGGTGCCTGTTGGATGTATGTACCTGTGGAGTCGAAAGGCCCAGACACACGTAGGAACTAAGAACTAAGATGCCAAAACGCTCTATCACGTTTGTTGGATGGAGTGGGCAAACTACTAGGTAGGTACGGTAGGTACGGACTGTGATGGGGACAATGGACTTTTCCCAATGGGAGTTGAACATGTTCTTGTCGGGGGATTTTGTGCTGGGACGCCCCCAGTCAGCACCAATCAGCAGCCATCGGACCCCCCGCACGGATGCAACCGAGGCCGATCTGGAGTTTCCATTGGTTCGTGGCCATCAGCCCGGCTCAGATCCCTGCAACCAATCAGAGCCCTGAAACGGGCGATCCTGGTTAGTGGACTAAGCCTTACTGGGACTAGTCGCCGGAAGTGACACCCGTTTCAGACTGTCTGGTTCAACGCTGAGCCTTCAGCTCCCCTTGTTCTTCCGAGTGAGCTTAACAAAGCCCGTGCAAAAAGACTCATCACTTCCCCTCTATTCCCCTCTTTTCTTCAAGGATATATCCTCGTGTCGGCGCTTTACACCTAACCTACCTTCATGGCAAGGTATATTCCAAGATACAGACAAGGAATTTTGCCTACCACCAGTGCCCCAGTGCCCCGATGACCTCATGAATTTCCTCTGGCCAAGTGAGCTGTTGGGTGGGTGGGTCAGCCACCGTGCGTTGTAGCTAAGGCAGGATGGGGTCGGTTTCAGGTGTCTTTCTTCGGTGAACCTCGGGGCTCCGGTTTCAGATTCATTCCAATTCCCAACCCACTTCCGAATCAAAGACTCGACCGAGTCGACCTCAAGTCTCTTAGTCATACCCTACCTAGCTTGCTTTGTCCAGGGGCCGGATTGGAAGACAAATGCCCGCTCATCCGCCCGCCCGCCCACCGGGCTGTTGGCATCTGCAGTCTGAAGAATGCCCGGTCATGTCATGCATGCATTCAATTAGGTTGTGTTGTGTCTCTCTGCTGAAACATGCGACATCTGTTGGTGGACTTGGTGAATTTGGTGGTCTTCTCCAGTCCCGCAGACTACCTAGTAATGCACATGGTTCCTTGGCTACCTGCCCCTATGATCGCCCCTTTCTCCTGGACCATACTATTTTGATCTCCATGACCAGTTCGCGATGACTTTGAGCATTGGTGATAACAGTTGGCCGTTCCGCCCCCTACCCAAGCAGCGATCGACCGCTGTCTTTGCGGCCACTCGGAGAGTGACTCTCCAACACTACACCACCACGTACTCGCCATGTCAGCACAACACGGCCCCCATGAGAAGCTCCCACCCTGCCATCCAGCTGCTGAGGACTCACTACCCCGCGTTGGGTTGGCGGAGGGAATCCCACGGCTTGGTTGAGCCATAATACGCTTACTCTCCTGCCTTCTCCGGCCATCTTGGCACCATCCGACTCCTGATTCAGTCACCAAAATAGCGACAGGGGAATGATTCCAGATTGGATCTCTTTTTTTTTTGACCCTCTGACCCTTTGCAGAGAATCGACCGAGACATCAGCACAATTTTAATCTTGCAGAATAAGGGTCACTGCTCTGCGAGTCATGTTGGCGTTCGGCTTCTGTTGGCAATCTCGCCCGTCAGAACTCGACCAAAATAGCGCTACCATTGTGGGTGAAAACAGCCTTCCCATGCTTGATCCTCGCGCTGCATTGACTGATCGACACTGGTTGCGATCAAGGTCTATGGTGACGAGAAAGCTGGGCCACCAGCAAGCCCACTCAGCGGGACCACTGGTACTGTACAATGCTGCGACGGGCAATTCACCCCTGGAGAAACGAGACCTACAGCTGGGGTGTTGCTCCAACAATCCATCAAGCGCATTTGTGGCCGATTGCGCTGCGCCTCATCCTTGACTCTATTTTCGCGGGCCGAAACCAGTGGTGAGACAGGCAAGACTTTCCCATGTCTTGACAGCACAGCCGTGGGAGAGACCCCATGCTCGACTCCATCTGTGTACATTTGTAACCTGCGTTGTATTTCCCTCATATTTTTGAACCTTCTTTAGGGCCGGGGAGATCGTGGTGTAGACACGCTTAAGACGATACTGAGGAGAACCTCCTTATCACCAACAGTTTCAGTGCACAATGGTAACCATCTCACCCCATGCATATTGACATGTCGTCTTACAAACCTGTTGCTGATTGTCACGGCTTTCTGTCGGTCGCTA